CAACTGTCCCTGCTCGCTGGCCGCCGCCCTGGCCAGGGCCACGGCTGACAGCCTCCTCCAGACCGACCTCTCCATCCACCACCTCCACAAGACCGTAGAAGATGGAGCTGACCCATTACCACGTGAGTCCCCCCCCCACCTTCCCACCCCCCATCTGGGGAGTCCACAAGATTGCTCTCTCAAACAAATTAGGTCTCCCTCTTACTTCATCACACACACACACACACACACACACACACACACACACACACACACACACACACACACACACACACACACACACACACACACATACACACACATGGATGTAAAACCAGGGCTTTGTCCCAGTTCTCTCTCAAATCAAGTGCATTAAGTGGGATTTGACCGTTAGAGGGCAGGAAGGAAACTCTACGATACGGTCGTCAGACAAAGTCTAAAATATCTGCAGTCTTAGTGATTGTACACAAAGTGTTTTAATCTATTACCATCTGCAGGAGCTGCATTCATTTAACTGATAGTAGCGCTTTATGCTAAAATAATGACAATTAGGTGAGAAATGGGTGAGTGAGATCATGTCATTAACTCAGTGTAACAGCCTGCTAAAAGCATTAGATGTATCTGAGACACAACAGTAGGCTAACTGAGATAGGAAAAAGGCAAATGGTGAATTTAAATTATGGTGAGACCATGAGCGACTGTTTTATCATCACCATCATCCTCTTGTTGCCAGGAGCAACAAGAATGAGAGAAAATGGTGAAACCGTGAACCGTGAATTCCTTTTGATTAGCAAAATTGCAAAAATAACAGGTGTACTAATCAGAGCTGCATTCCACTTCTGCATGCGAGTTTGTTGGAAGCTAAACATGGAATGCAGCCTTCGTTAATGCATATATATGTCTTAATAAACATTGTATGTGAATACATTTAGCTAAAGACTTTAATTTTATGTGGCATTATTTTTTATTATTTAAATGTTATTAAAGGTGGTTAATTTGAATTTCAAAGATTAAAACCCGAAGCTTGGCAAAAAGCATATTGTGCGTGTTCTCTACTTTGTTACGTAATGGCTGATCACATCCTGTTTGTCGCTTCGCTGCACTCAGCTTCTCTGTTTATTTATTTTTATAAGCAGTCCTTTATGTCAGATGCCGCTCTAAAACAAGCAAGAGAGAGGAGAGTTAGAGCAGAGAGAGCAGGTTCAATGCCGGGATTTAAAGGGATTGTTCATTTAAAAAGTGGAGAATGAAAGGGCGATGGAGGACACAGGAAAGGCTGGCCTTTGTTGGATGAACAGATGGACAGTGAGAGGACAAAGCAAAGACAGCACAGGCGCTCATTCTAGCATTAGCATGTTAAGCTCTAGTACAGCCTTTGCTTCTGTCAGGCTTCACACAGTCTCGTTTCTCTTCCACTGACCTTTGCTGCTGGCTGTAAATAATGACTGAAAGACAGGAAGAATCTAGTAGTCTACCCAAAATATCTAAAAGCAAAAAAGTTTACTATTCTGACCCTAAAAGGGACTTAGGGGGAATTTTCTTCAGAGGAATGGAGTTTGCATGATCCCATGGGCTAAAAGCCAGTGGCGCCCCTAGAAAGTGTTCGTGGGGGACCCAGTGACAATTTTAGGGTTACACAAAAAAATTGGAACGTTTAGCATGTAGCTGGGCATTGCATTGCTCCTTCATGCTTTGTCATTAAAATAAATGTGCATCCAACATATTATTCTCAAATTCCATCCATCCACTTTCCTCCGCTTATCTGGGGTTGGGTCACGGGGGCAGCAGTCTAAGCAGAGAGGCCCAGACTTCCCTCTCCCCAGCTACTTGGGTCAGCTCCTCCGGAGGGAATCCTATGGCGTTCCCTGGCCAGCCGAGAGACATAGCCCCAGCATGTCTTGGATCTTCTTTTAGGTCTCCTCCCAGTTGGACGTGCCTGAAAAACCTCAACAGGGAGGCGTCCAGGAGGCATCCTAACCAGATGCTCAAGCCACTTCAACTGGCGGCAATTTGGCCACTTGCATCATTCTTTCGGTCACTACCCAAAGCTCGTGACCATAGGTGGGGGTAGGAATGTAGATCTACCGGTAAATCAAGAACTTTACCTTCAGGCTCAGCTCTCTCTTAACCATGACAGATCGGTAGATCGCCCGCATCACTGCAGACGCAGCACCAATCCGCCTGTCGATCCATCTTTCCCTCACTGGTAAACAAGACAGTTGAATCATTTTAATGTCACTTTGAAGACAATTCAGACCTTAAAGAGGTCCAATTAGTTCCCACAAGTGAGATTATTGATGGAGTTTGATTTTACTCACAAACTCTGAAAGCAAAGACAGGTGTGGATGTGTTTGGAAAAGGCAATGACCTCTACATTCCCTTATTTGATGTTTGCTGTGTAGGCTGCAGATGTGTGTGGGTGCAGGAAACAAGAAGAGAAGTGTTTTGTAGTACGGTTTAATTCAAGCGTGTTAGATTTACTTATGTGTGTGTGTGTGTGTGTGTGTGTGTGTGTGTGTGTGTGTGTGTGTGTGTGTGTGTGTTAGAGATGGAGTCTGTGAAGCTGGCTCGGCTGGTGTTTAACAGACTGTTTGAGACATGCTGCGTCTGGCAGAAGGAGCTGCCCTACCGCCGTCGTCCACAGCCATACTACGAGACGTCCATCCACGCCATTAAGAACATGAGACGCAAGATGGAGGACAAGCATGTCATAATTCCCGACTTCAACACTCTCTTCAACATTCAGGTAGCGGCAGCATAAAAGTACAGCGTTTTTTGTTCCAGCATGCCTACAAAAGTAAAACAGAAGTCTTTCTTGACAAAGCCCTTCTAAAAAGAAAAGCATGTTTATGATCATGCACAGACAACATTTAACTCTTCAGACAGCTGTAAGTGTGCAGAACGCCAGTAATTTAACATACAAGATGTGTGCAGTGCAGGTCTGTAAACTTGACTTCTGATAGTTCAGCTCCTCTCCAGGAGACCTTTGCTGCTGAATGAATTTCCTTCCCTCAGGACGCTTTAGAAACGGTGCTATTTTAAGTGTCCAACACATAGAAGTCTAGCTGGATACATATTTGTTGAACGGAAACCTTTGTATGTGATGAACATGGTGGGGATCTTTTGTTGTTGCTCACTCTCCCACAGTGAGAATATTACATCTAGGTTGTTTTGTCCTCCTGTCTATCAGGACCAGGAGGAACAGGCCTTCTTTGCTGTGTTTGATGGTCATGGAGGTGTGGATGCTGCCATTTATGCTGCCAACCACCTCCATGTGAACTTGGTCCGGCAGGAGTGCTTTAGCCAGGACCCCAACGACGCGCTCTGCAGAGCCTTCAAGCTGACCGATGAACGTTTTGTAAAGAAGGCCTCCCGAGAGGTAAAAAAAAAAAAAAGACCATCGTCGTTACGCTCGCTGGTACATTTTTCTTGATGCAATTCAATTTATTTGTACTTAGTGTGTTGAGTTCAGTTCATTATTGCTAACTAAAGAAATCCAGCAGATTGCATCGAGTCACTGACTTGTTGTGTCAATGACTTTACAGCAATCTCCATTCTAAGCAAGCGTGCAGCAACAGTGGAGGGGAAACTTCCAACAGAAGATGGTTCAGTACGAGCAGCCATCTGCTACGACCGACTGGGGGTTTTAGAAGACAGAGCAGATATACACACAAAAAACCTGATTAACTAGTAGTAGTACTTTCTGTGAGGAGAGGGAGGATGATGGCAGTAGTATGTCGGTGGAAGCAGCTTCAGCTGGTTGTGTTTTGATGAGCTGAAGACGTTGTTCCTGTATGAGTTTGAGGCTTTTGTGTGTCTGTCAGAACCTGCGCTGTGGAACGACGGGCGTGGTGACGTTCCTGCGTGGTCGGACCCTGCACGTGGCCTGGCTGGGAGACTCCCAGGTCATTCTGGTCAGGAGGGGGCAGGTGGTGGAGCTGATGAAACCCCATAAACCAGACAGAGAGGTGAGGCGTGACATTCTCACTAGACAAACAGCTTGATGAGCTAAGCTAACTAACCATCTAGGCACACTTTCAGTTCAGAATTTTTCAGAATCGTGTTTTTACTAGTCCTGCTTCTGAAGAGAAGGACCGTTAGTCGTTTCCTGTCATTTAGAGAACTTAGAACTAAATAAACAGCTATTTGAGTGGACCATTTACTTTAAGTGCATAACAGGTAGGGAGCGCACTCATGAGTCATTTGCTGCAGAGATGATAGCCATCGGTGTGTCTCTGCAGGATGAGAAGCAGAGGATCGAGGCTCTGGGAGGGTGTGTGATCTGGTTCGGTACATGGAGGGTGAACGGCAGCCTGTCGGTGTCCAGAGCAATAGGTACGCTAATGGTTTATTAGTGATGCTGCTGCATGCACAAACGTTATTCTGGGGTACTTTGAGATGCGATTCTCACAAAAGCCATGAAAGGCAAGGATAAGGTGTAGATTTTAGGGCAGCCTGAGGTCTCATGTGTCAGACATCAAAAGCCTGTCTAACTAAAAATTCTCAGACTCAAAGGCTGATGCTATTTAATCAGATGCCTGATGAGTTTTTGAATGAGATCCTAGGTGTTTTTTTTTTTATCTATGGCTTGATGTCTGACATTTGAGACCTGAGGATGTCCTAAAATGTACACCGTACAAGGACAAAAATATATGTCTGTTGTCTCATTTTTATCATTTTCCCTACTTCTTCAACAACAAACAGCAAAAGAAAAAGGAAATATTTGTGTTTTTTACTTAAGAGAGAAAATAAAAGATTTTTCTACGTTTTTAAGAATAAAAAAATGTTTAACAAGTTTTTATTTATTTCAAATAAAAATAAAGAGAAGGTCTTAGAAAAGAAACTAAAAATACTGTACTTTTGTTCCGTGAATCCCTTTGCCTTTCAGGGCTTCCGTAGAATTTTGACAAAAGTTAAGAGGAATTTGTTTTTTTGAGCCTTTTCATTCTAAAATACCCTTTCCACTGTCCTTAATGAATGTTTTTGGTTTTAACAGGCGACTCGGAGCACAAACCCTACATCTGTGGTGATGCAGATCATGGTATTTTCCCATTAGACGGCTCAGAAGACTACCTGATCCTGGCCTGTGATGGCTTCTGGGACACAGTCAATTCAGACGAGGCAGTGCGGGTGGTCAGCGACCATCTCCAGGAGAACAATGGAGACACGACCATGGTGGCACACAAGCTGGTGGCCTCGGCCCGCGACGCAGGCTCCAGTGATAACATAACTGTCATAGTGGTGTTCTTGCGGGACCCACGCTCTCCACCACCCACCAGCACAGAGGACGAGGAGGAGGGTGTGGTGGAGGGACCGGTGCAGGAGGAGGAAGCTGCAGAGGTGGAGGAAGAAGAGCAGGAAGAAGAAGAAGAGGAAGAGGAAGCGATGAGGGTGGAGCGAGAAGGTGGCGAGGGGGGCAGCTCTGCAGACATCGGGGGGAAGAGCCGCGGAGGCTGGCCCCTGCAGCAGTGCTCTGCTCCCGCTGACCTCGGCTATGAAGACCGAACGGACTCATTCACAGACAGAACTAGCCTCAGCCTCCTGGGGCCGTCGCTGGAGGGCCGGATCTCCCTGATCCCAGGCTCACGGAAGCCCTGCTTCACCTTTAGTCCCGACCTGCTCACAGTCTCCCGTAGCTACCAAGGAGAGCGCCTGCTGAGACGCAGATCATGTGTCCCATTTCAGGAGCCTGGCAACTCTAGCTTTACGGACCCACTGTGGCCCCAAACAGCCATGCTGTTAGGCCAAGCAGTGAGGCGAAGTCACAGGCGCGGGCATGGTAGTCACCAATGGGGCCGGAGGTGGCCAAGTAGATCCAGAGAGCCGCTAGGTCTGATACCGTCTGGCCACATGCGGTTCTGCTCCAACTGGAGGCCTGAGGCGGTGGTGCCTCACTTTGATAAAAGCATCTGAAGGGGCAAGCCAAACCAAATTATTTTAATTGTTTCATCACCTCTCCCCGCTCCCCCAGCCCGCCCACCTCTGCCTTCAACAACACGTCTTTCTTTGATAGTAAATAGTCGTGGCTCCTGCAGTCGTTCCGTGGTTATTCAGTCTTTATTAGAGAACTAACCCGTGAAACACAAGCCCCACCGCTTTCTAATGCTTTAGGTCAAGTCCAAACAGCATCCTCCCTGTTGTAACGGCAATTCTTAGAAAAAGGCACCAAGGTATGGCAACAAATAACTCATAAAAGACAAGAACAGATGTGGTTTTACTGAAGTCAGTGCAAATACAATCTGAGCTTCAGGATTAAGATTCTGAAAAGGCTCACCTAGACTCTAAATCATGCCTTCATCTATAGGAGCCTCGTTCTGTATCGGACCCTATTAGTCCCTCAAGTCATTAAAAAAAAACAACAAAAAACACGAACTTGCATTCAGTATGAAGATGCGTTTAACATTCATTTCTGTGCCTGGTTGCTCCGCAGAGAAAAGTTATTTATTTTTAACAAACATAAAATGTAAAATAGGGCAAGTTTTGTTGCTCAGAATACATATATGTATAAATATATATAAACACAGCAGCCAGAAGGGTCTACAGCTGGGTCACATCCCCGTGTTTTCCCCCTTTTCACATCACAAACACTCAAACAGATCATTTAGCCATTTTTTTCTGGCATCCTGTACTGTAATTTGTTGTTATTTAACATAGGTAGTGTGTGTCCTATCACTAATATGTTTTAAAAGATGTTAGCTTAAAGTAATGGTAATACATTTTCTCAAACTTCTACAAACTCTTTTGTAGCTGTACAGTAGAATTAATCATAGGACCAAAAGGAAACAAGATGTCCATTTGCTGCAAAATCAGTCCTTTCTCCTCCCGTTTGATATAAACTAGGTCTAAAAAGCAGAGTAAGAAAGAGACAGATGTGGCGCGTTCCATCCAGCTCTTATCTGTCTGCCTTTTGTTCTTTGGTAGCAGATGAAAAACACTTCAACACGAGGCTGGAACTATTCTGGTTCGTGGCATTGAAGGCACATTCTGTTCTGCCCCTCCCATGCAGTCAATGACCCAGCACTTATCCAGCAACAATTTGTCTACAGATAAAAGCATATACCGGCAGATTATAAAAGATTAAAATCCACTTACCTGCATAAATGTCTCCAGATTGGATATACTCCTGGGTTAATGGGTTTCTAGTGGGAGAGAAATATAGTTTTAGTAATGGTATTTACTTTTACTCACAAACACTACTTTTTCAAAATAAGTATTTTATTTTGAAAAGCTTGTACAACCTTGATTTCTGTAAGAACAGGCATGCTCAAAGTTTGGCCCGGGGCCGTTTGCGGCCCTCTGAGTGGTTTTGTGCAGCCCCCACTTTCATTTAACCGATGTACAATGACACATTCTAACATTTATGTTTTTAATTTTTTACTAGTATATCTATTCTGGATCTGTTTTAAAGAGTACATAAAAAGACATTACCCTAAAATTATTTTTGCATTTTTTAAAGAGCAAGTTTAATGAAAAAGCATTTTTACACATTCTTCCTGAAATAGGGTCAGTCACTCTGAGTTTCACTTGCAGGCTGAGCGTGATTGTGTTCTACCCTTATTTCCTGCATTAGCTGCCGTTAGAAAATAGACAGAGAAACATTTAAAAAGACAGTCAGGTATACATCACACTGAGTGCATTTACACGCACATCAGAAAACCGAAGTATTGCCCCAAAAAGACTCACGTCGTTTTTATTTCTTTCTTTATTTCTTTATGCACGTAAACGCGTTAGTCTGGCAGAAGGCAAACTGGTCCTAATCATGCTGAAGCACCCAGATGCGGTAGCAATCCAAATACGTGTAAACGGGTCAGCCGAACTGAAAAGATTGGACGCAAGTGCTTTGAAAGTGACGAGACCGCGGAAGCGGCCTTCTGATAATGTCATCGCCACAAGGTAACACGCGTAACACTGTCGAACAGTACAGTACGTGCCAAATAAGCTTTGCTGCAATGTTGTTGTGGTCCAGTCTTTTAGCCATTGAGCATATCCTGTTTCCATTCTGTCAGCTTCACTCCCGTTAGCGTTTGTTTCCATTTGTGTTGCTATAAGCAAACCGAAAGAATGCTGACATGAAAGGGCGCATGTCGCCTCCATTTATCTTGAGAGGCACTATATAAAAGATTGATTTCTGTATTTCTTTATTCCTTATTATTGTACCGGAGTGAAACAAACTTTATTTGAGAGGTCGGCTTTCTACTGTGCATGGAGGATAAAGAACTCAGCTTATTACCATGAGATCGACCTGTAGCCACTTAGATGTTGGTCAGTGTGCACTGAATGAAAATTAGCATTCATGGACTCAACCACCTTGGCTGATGGCGGGGAAGGCTGCTGTTGATTGAGCATCTAGGAAAGCAGCAGCACGTCTTGGCTAATAGAAGCAAACCGTAGCATTAGCAACTCCTCCACAGAGCTTGTTCAGGCTTGTTTTATTTGTGGAGATAAAACATTAATGTTGCAAAGCAAACTGAGTCGTTGATAGAGTTATGTTGCTGTCAGCCAATCAGAGGTGAGATGTCAGGAAATAAGACTCCAACACCTGCCATCTTTTGCTCCCTATGCTCTCACTTCTACTTCCTGAAACAGGAACAGCAGAGCTTTTTTTTTTACCTCAGAGATCAACTCACAAGGCACGCATTCATATTAGAGATGACTGCAAATTTAAAAATGAATAAACTTGGTCTTTAAAGAAAAAAAAATCTAATTTTAGGCCCACAAGGACTTTACAATTCTTGCCCTCTTCTTGAAATATTTGGACACTGCTGTGAAGAAGAAAATTGAAAAATGCAAAAAAAAATTTTTTTACATGTATAATAACACTACTGATAAAGTAATAAATATTTTTAGAAATCAGCTCAAAACAATACTTAAAGTTTTCTTGTAAAATAAGCTAATTAAAACCACTCTTAACATTATAATTAACCTGCAGCTGTTTAGCATTACTTGATCATAATCTGCAGGGGTTGTTGCTGATCGGTGAAAAATCACCACATTTGCTGTAGGACAGTAGAATCAATGGCACACATGCATAGCGGGGGGTGGGACTACCCTGGGTTTTAATGCTAAGCTAGGATAACCAGCTGCTAAGCGCAGTAAGTTTAAGATCTGAGAGTGGTTTGGAGTCTAGTCCCTAAAATGTTTATAAAACAGCATAAAGGATGTGTTACGCAGCTCACAGTCTGAAGCTGATCCCTTAACGAGTAACATTTTGTTAACAGTCCCTTTGCATTAGTGCAGCAAACATCCCAGTCATCATCAACTGAGGGATAGCTCCCTCGTTTTAATCCACCGAGGCCAGCTCCCAAAGCCCCACAGGAAACTTTTTAATTGGATTTGTCTGCTCCAGATTCTGCAGAGCAGTACCCCCCTCGCTGCTGTCTAATACTCTAAGGTTATAAAACTCTTTCATTGTCATTATTTCACAAATCGATCACTTTGAAGTTTTTCCAGTTTTGTGTTATCCTTTTTTTTTTTTTTACACATGATGCGGTAAATTTGCCAAATGCTTGTGAGATTTAGGTGTCTCCATCATCGCTTCCCCTTTCACCCTTGCTGGTCTTGTCCTGCTACCAAGCTGTGGAGCATTAGTGGAGCAGAACGTACTTCAAGTCCCAGAATGTGGTGAAGTAGGTCAACATGAAGTGAATTTTGTCTTCTTTTCTGTTTGTGATTCTGGGGGGTGTCTAGCTCATAAGAATGTACTGTTAAGACTGTCAGTTCAGACTAAAAGCCATTAAATTCCCTCGTGGAGGTCTGTCACCGCGTTGGTTTGGAAGGGCCTGAAGGACACGTGCAACAAAGGGAATCACAGTCATATAGAATATTAACTTAAGCGTGCGTGTGTGTGGGTGTGTGTGTGTGTGTGTGTGTGTGTTTGTGTGTGTTTGTGTGTGTGTTCCAAGTACAATTTTAAGTTGAGCAAGGGCTGAAGGAGTGTACATAAATTAATTTTGTCTTTTAAATCAGTGTTTTTTTAATCCATGTGTCACAACGCTCAGTAGTTGGAGAAACCATATAAATCTATGAGCGCTGGATGAAGGAGGTGACGAGGACATGATTTTATTACAGCTGAAAAAATAAAAACAAAAAACTGACCAAGTATTTATAAGTGTTAACCTGTCTGGCTTTCCGTGGAGTCATACTAGTAAGCCTCCCATAGCTTAGCTGCTGTTTCACCCTGCTTCCTCGTCCCGACATCACAAGAAAGATGTATTTAATATATAAGATGAATTGTTTTCATCAAAATATTCTCTAGAAAGGTGTATTTACTCCCAGTCCTGTTAAATGGATAATCAGCAGGTTGATTTGTAATTTATTAATTAGAGGTTGGGATCTTGCTATATTGACAAGTGATAGATTATTATGAAAACAACCACATGTATATATTTTCTGTTAAAAAGTTAAACTCAAGTCAAAAAATAGCTTTAAACAGATTATTGTTTCTATTTTATAAAACAAATCTCAAGCCTTTTCATGATCACTAATGCAGTTTTAATTTGCCTTTTTTAGTTTATAAAATTAAACTAAATTATGTCTGCAGCATGGATCAGACTTTTCTGCAGCCTCATTCTAAATACAAACCAATAAAGACTCAGAAGTCTGGAATTATTATTTATTATCAGTTCATCCAGGGTTGGAAACTTGGAATTGAGGTCTTGCTTCCTAGCAGCCTTCAAGCTGTGTGCAGAAAAAGCAGCAGATGTGGAGCTGGTTGACAATCTGATTTCTGTCAGGGTGACTGCGGGGGGTCCATGAGTGTCTGCACAGCAGCAGCTGGAGTCAAATGTTTTCACATCCGTGCAAGAAGCAGGACCTCAATACTGGTGCTTAGAAATGGTGAAACTCGTCTTCGAGATATTCTAGCTTTGTTTTGTCAACTGGGAGGAAGTTCTTTGATAAATGTTTGCATTCAGTGAGCAGGTTTGAACGATTTTGTGTTTTTGGTTAACGTTTCTGGGTTGGAGATCCATGAATTTCAAAGATATTGTGCTTTGGAATTCATAAATACCTGAAAATAAATGAAAATAAAACATTTTAGAATGACTATCCTGTAAAAATCTAAGTGTTTGTCATGATAACACGATCTTATGTTGCCGTTAGAGGGGTTTAATGGCTGAGACCACTCCACAGAAAGCTGTCAGGTGCTGTGGGATGTTTCTCTAAACTTTGCTGATTTTCATTTTGTTGTAGCAGCAATCAGTGAAATCGTTGTTCACTAAAACCTTTTCAATTAGCCCTTCAGTGCTGCTTATACTCACAAATTGTCACAGTATAAGCAACAAAATGGAATTTTTGTTTTTCCTCGTGGTAAATCCTCCTTCACTCGTGCTCAGCTTGCACTAAAAGGATGTTTCTGTCCCTTCGTGGTGAAAACAGAGGATCGTCTCTGTCTGCCCGTTCTCTGTAGGGCCCCTCACCAATCTGCACTGTCCATGCACACACAACAAAAAGCGTTTTTATTATGTTTTTCTTTGTAAGCAATAATGGCGTTGCATTAAAAGGCTTTCTGAGGGTTTGTCTTCCGCTGAAGGATGCAGTAGTTCTGAGACAGCGTTGGTGCAGGTCCCTGAAGACAGCTTCGTGTTCTTTTCCACACCTGAGCTTAGCTGTCATTTCAGTTTAAACGATTTTTATGTTGATGAATAAAAGTTACGAAGCTTTCTTGAGGATTTGATAGAGGAGGTAGAATATTTCCATATTATCAACATTCCTCAGTGGTAAGAACTTAGGACTTACTGGACCTATGCACTGTTCAGACCAGTGGCCCCCTCTCTCTGGTCGTCTGGGCTTGAAGACAAACCCCATGATTGACTCTTCCTGAAAATCCAGGTTAGGTAAAAGAAGAAACATTTAAACACGTTGAGTACCTGTGATATGTGTGTTCCTGTAGTATATAACTATGTGGATTGTAACTGGTGACTAACTATGTATATATAAAGAATAGACCAAGTCTCTGGCTGGTGCTTTCTTTTCTGCAACACTGATTACCAATCAGCAGCATTAAAAGCAGCCTGGGCTAAAGACAAGCTTGTACATCAACTTGGACAGAGGACCAAGGAAGAAGATCCAGTGTCAAAAGTGACAAGAAGTTTAGATGGTGTCAAGGTGAAGCATTAATGTCCAATGCTGAAGCATGGTGGTGGCAGCATCATGCTATGGTGCCACTGCTCTGTATAAAGTCCAAACTAAGTAGCTAGAATATTGAACGCAGTTGGGTTTTTCAACAGACAACCTCAAACACACCTCCCCAAAGTGACCAAATATAAATATACCTATCTGACAGAAGGGTGCAGATGGCTGAAAACTAACAGTACCTGGTAGGAACATGTTAACCCCCGTTCCACTTGAAAGAAGAAAGGTGATGGATTTTTATTAAGCTTCAGCGATGAGCATCAGAGAACCTGAACAAAATGTTTTCAGGTAACAGCGTGAGATGTGATGCTGTAACTGGGCTTTCATGTGGAACGATGCGGTCTGCTGTTACATAAACAGCTTCACAAAAGTGAGCAGTCCTCCACATGTCTTCTATAAAAAGCCTCAGCGTCTCACCCCACTCATACTCTTGGCTTTCATTCTCTCTGCCGCAGCACTTGGGGTTTTGAGGGAAATGAGATAATGAAATTCAGAGAAAGAAAGGAGTTCTTTCTGACTAGAACACTCAGAATGGAGGGGGCAGATTGAAATTTGAACTATTATGACCTGATAATCAGAGTAATGCTTTAATTGTGGGGAATCTGAATGTTTAAAATCCCTAGTTTAGTTTCGGTGATGTAAAAAAAAAGAATTTTACTCCTTAAAGTCACACTTCAAATGTTCACATCTGTAAACAAAATTCTCTATCAGACAAAGATGACCAGAGTAAATATAAAATGTCGTCTTCTAGTGGTTTATTTTAATTAGAGAAAGCAAACTAAAATGGTAAAAGTGACCAACTAACAACCTTGACAGCCACTCGTTCGAAGGAGCAGAATTCAGCAACACTGGAGGGTTTTACAGCATGAATGGCCTGTTTGAGGTCAAAGGTCAGACATTCTCCTTCAGGATTTCCTGCTAGAGTGCAGAATAATTCATGGATCCATCAATTACAGCAAGTGGTCCTGAAACAGCAAAGCAGATCAAGACCATCACATTACCACCACCGTGCTTGATAGTTGGTGTGATGTTTAGTTTTATTCCAAATGACACACACCTTCCATTTTTTTAATTTGGTCTCATCAGTCCAGACAATTTTCCCCAAAGTCATTAAAATGTTTTTGATAAACGTGAAACAAGTCTTTGTGTTCTTTTTGATCAGCTGAGGTTTACACACTGGAACCATGTTGTCATATTTCACTTTCAAACTGATGACCTTTGACCCATAACTAAAAGAGACCTGCAGTGCTCTGGGTTCCTTTGTTGTTGAACTTCCTCAGAACATGGCACAATATGTTGCTTTTTGAGACATTTGAGCCTAATTCATGTTGTCAGATTCTACTGAGGTGACTTCTTAAAAGGATTCTATATTTTAACCATTTGATGCATGAATTATGAAATCTTCAACCATGATTTTTTTAACAATTTTTTCATTCGTCTTTAGGTGTGAATGAAACAAATTGCAACAAATATTTTTTGTAAAATTTTATAATTTACAATTAATTTATTACATGTCCACTTCAGTGGACAGTGTGCATTCTGAGCATGAAATATGTTGGCTTGGCTTACTGAAGTCCAAACGGAGGGGCTCAAATGCAATAAAGTCTTCAACAGCTGTGCTTAATAGCAAAAACAAATAAATAATAATTTTGAGTACCTGTCCACTGTAGTGACCATTATGCATCAAAGGGTTAAAATCATTTTCTTGAGCCAGTATGAGCAAAAATGACCCTTTACAGGGTCAATGAAAGGTCACTCAGACCCCACCGGCCTCTGTGGCCAGAATATCACACTTGCAACTTCAGAGTACTCAGGCCGATACCGTTAGTAAAGTGAAGCTGACTTGCTTGGCGCTACAGTCTGAATCCAGCACGTTTCCTGCATGTTTTAGATCGTGAACACAGCTGATTCGTTTTATTTAGTGATGTAGGTCCTGTAGGCACTAATGAAGGCTGAGGAGACATTTCAGCAGTTAGGTTAAAGTGTTAAAAAGATGAACGCACAGCGAGGAGACAAGTTTCACTTTTGGTTTTTCAACAGTGAATTTATAATGGACACCAGTGCTAGAAGCAAGCCAAAACTGCTAAATTTCCCTTTAAGTCTACAGGTGAAGTAATCAGTCTCGTCAAAATTCAACTCAGCTTTTCAAACAATGCAATAAACCAGTTAATTCACAATTAAACACAATAAGGCAATGACTACTGAGAGATTTGAACAGCTTTTTTCCCTTAATGAATAAAATAATTATTAGAAAACTATTTTGTATTTCCTCAGGTCATTGTTAGCTGATATTTAACTTTGTTGTTAATGTTTTACATTATTCCTTTAACATATTTTTAATACTGAGGCCAAAGATATGAGAGCGTGTAGTTTTCACATGTTGCAAAACATTTTATTTATTACACAAAAAGAAAATATACACAGAATAAAAATGGTGCACTCTAGGTACATTCTTAATTAAATAAACTCAGAAGAACAAGATAAAGACCGAATGTTGAGTCTGGCTGCTGTGCATCTCGTGTTTACAGGCAGCATAAATAACAGAGAAAACATCTGGAGTCTCAAGACAAAATAAAGTTGTTATTTTCCTTCTAGTCCAGGCAAACACAAAACAACATATTTACAGAAAGTGAAGATCAGGTTTCCAGCAGAGAACATGGCTTCACCTCAAAGTTTCACAAAGTGCAGAAAAGTATACAGCTCCCAAACATCTCGAGTGTTTTAAGGCTCAGCAGAAACCTTCAAAGTTGGTCTCTGCCCCATTTGTTCAGAGGTGTAAACTAATAAACCCACCAAGCAGCGCCGCAAAGAGCACGTTACATAATTGCAGGCCTTCATACAAATCTACTGTTAAACGCGGCGCATTTTAAAAAGATCGCTTCACCCAAATGAATTACACAGTTCAATTTACTCAAAGCTTTTTTATTGTGGGAAAACCACACTGCCAACACTTTTTGGTCCTATTTAAACAAACTAATTTATGCTAAATTGAACAGAGTTTGTAACCTTTTTCCTTCTGTGTTTGTTAACCTTGTTGAAGTAGAATTAGAAAAACGAGACAAAAACAAGCCTGGCACGATGAAAAGACGCCAGAAGTGTTTTTGTTTTGTGTAAAAACGGTTTCTGGAGCATTTAGTCAACGGGATTCTTAAACTACCCCTCTAAATAAATAAACGAGAACAAACTGGCCCGAGGCAGGTTTTCCCCACTTTGATCAGTAAAAATGAAAAGTTTTATCAATATTTTTAAGTGTGCAAAAAGTTTCCAATGAGTCATTTAGGTTTTTTTGTATTTAACCGTAGCATCTATTAGCAGTAAAAGCATTTAGACAAATCCAACAGTTGAAGCTGCTGACAGGCTCTATTGTCTATTCGTGCTGACGATGAGGAGGATGTGCAGTAGAATCTCTGAACTTATCAGCAAAGCAGCATTATGAAACATGACACTGTTATAACATGCTAGTAATAAACGTATTTGGATGCCGTCAGACTAACAAAAGCATTCAAACAAGAATGGTAACAGATTTGTTCTGAATTATAGCGATCGGCTGACCTGAACACAATCAGTGTCCTCAGGTCTAAAGAGCAAACTAGAATATGAAACTCAGTAAAAGTTTTTGTCTGTTTATAGAACGTTTTCATCATATTACCATTAACGCCTCTGTCTAGTTCTGAGAAAGTCTATTTGCATTTCTGCATAAACAGGCAGGTGGTTGCATTTTGTTTAAGTTCATGCAAAACAAGCAGCTTCTAATGTTTAGGTCTGTGGAGCTAACGGGGGTGCAATCAGATCAATGACGAAGCAGTGGTCTGACGGGAATCACCTGTCGGCAGGTAGACCCAGGTCGTCGGACAGGAGCTGCTCTCCTGGTAGAAGACAGAAGGGGGAAAAGAAAATCACAACCAATTCAGGAAAACTACTGAAACAACAGATGTTTTCATCCAACCGTCAGACCTGACACACTGAGATGTTTTAACCCCTCTAGCTTCACTTTTAAACAACAGAAAACTCAAGAAACTTAAAATCCGGGAAGATTTTAAAATGTTTTGATGCGATACTTGTCAATAAACTGGAAGACGGTTGAAACTGGTGTTTGCTACCTGTGCATGGGGGGATGTGGTTGTCGTAACGTGAGTTGCAGCTCTGCAGAGCTTCATCTTCAGTGTCGCTGTCACTGCTGGTTGCTGCCACCAACACAGACGACGGATCTGCAGTCGACACGGAGCATCAGATAGAATCAAATACTTAGACCCTCAACCGTAAAACGAATGGGCTTCATAACCTCACTGACACGTCTGCAGAGGTGGGAGTTGAGATTTTAGGACATCTTAAAGGCATCATTGTTTTTGAAAAATGCTTTATATCTGATTTGTTCTACAAATAACTGAGAAATATAAGTGTATCAAACTTTGAAAAGGGGGAATTTATGAGCTTAATGTAGACAAATACTATCAGGCAGTCATCGGCAAAGATGGGCAGAGATCCTCTTCAGCAGATTAAAATAACCAGAATCTATTTGACCTAAAACCCCAACTTTTTAACAGATAGCAACTTTTCATTAAAGTAAAAAAATTCTCCTGTGAGGCATTTTTTTATTCACAAACCCTGAAAACATCGAATTTCCAAGAACTGCAGAACCAGTCTACATCATCAGTGTGATATGTAAGTAAAGACGCACCGATTATGATTTTAAAGGCCGATACCAAGGAGATAGCATCAACAATACATTTCTTCCTAATAATTTGGTACCATCAACCAGTTAATGTTACGAATGGTTTGTCCATGGGCTTGGCGGTGTTCAGGTACCCCAAAGTAACTCAGATATTTGGATTTTTAATCACACTAACTGCTGAGTATTGGGTCATTCTGATCTTCAGCTGATTTGAAGGAAACATTTCAATCAGTTCAAATCTAGAAGTTTTTCCACAATAAAAATCTAATAAATGTTAGTTTTTAAATTCACCTCAGGCTCAATGAACAGACTGAATATGCTACAGCGTGCTGCAGAACTCAGTATGTGACCATAACAATGAGAGTGAGCCAACCTTCAGCCGACTGGGGTTGGGCAGATGTTCCCTTCAGCAAAGACTGATGGGAGTTTCCTTCGGCTTCACCGTCCAACGCAACAGCCCTGCAGCAGAAAAACACCACAGAGTTATGTGATGATGTGGAAGAGCCGAGTTTATGGTGAGCGTCTGACTCGCACCCCAGAGTCCTGCTGCTGTAGGTCTTGCTGGCAGCCATGAAGCTGGTTCCTCCCAGGGAAAAGATCTCATCTCTGGGCCCGGAGGCCCCATACAGCTGCTGCTCCACGGAGAACTGCTGCTTGGAGGTGGAGGCTTGTTCTGATGAGGAGCTGCACAGAGGTGTCAGGGTGGAGTCTGACTTTAGAACTCCTGGAAGAGATGCAAAAACAAAATCAGACATCGACAAATACTTATAAATAAAAAAAAAACAGAAATGCAGAATAATAGATCTAGTAAGTGCATTTAGTGCTTAATTTAATCAACATGCAATCAGATTTGTTGATATGTAAACATCCTTGTCAGTGCAGATGCCACTGCCGGTATTTTACCATGAAAATAATTCTGCACATGCATTTTCTTTAGGAATATTCTGCAGATAAACAATATTTTTTGTTATAGCACAAATCAAAGTTAAACAATGATCCTACAATAAGGCAAAGGCATAGTGTGAAATACACGGTCTAGTGAAGAAACACTAAAGTAAACAAACTAAACGAGTGTTAAGAGAAGAGGCAGAACAGTCAGACCGCTCCAGAATCAGGGGCTATTTTCAGTCCCACTCAGAGAAGTGGATGTTTTCACAGCACATCATTTTCACCAGCATCAAGATGATACTTTAACAACATACAAGTCAAGGACACTCAAGTTTAAAAAACAGTAGTGCTTAAACTCTTAAACACAAAAGCACAACGTTTTACTTCAGCAAGGATCGACTCCATAAGCAAAGCTAGAAAATCCACACTTTTATCAGCATTTCTCTTCTTGACTCACATTATTTTTTTATGTTTTCACTCACAGCTCAACATTGTGCTTACTGACCATCTGCACCTCCCATCCCATCTTTAGGATGCAGGCTGAGCTCAGCAGCTGAGTCTCCTCCTCTCAGATCTTTCTCCAGCACGTCGGGACTCATCCTTTTCACCACTAGAGAGCTGCTGCTGTCCAGGACAGGAGACAGGGACTTCCTGGCTACAAGAAAGCAAACGTAAGGCATTTAAATTTAAGATCAGGGCTGTAGGAGCTATAACTGACAGCATGAAGGGCCCGGTCCTTACCGGGGCAGCAGGGTTTAGACCGAGCTCTCCCCACTAGGTCTAGCTCACCTGGCTTGTGACAAAGCAGGCATGTCTGAATTACCGTGATGAGATGAAACCTCCTCCCCGCCGAAGGCTCCAGATGGGCCCGGTCTGGACTCCCCAGACTCCCGAGCTTCCATAACTTGACTCTTGACATCAGACATCTTGCTGCGGACCTCTGCCATCTGAGCCTTGAGGCGGATCAGGACTCCAGAGTCCGGAGCCGAGCGTCGCACCACCTGGGGCCGCCTCTCTCGCTCTTTTCTCGAGTGGACATGCACTGAAGAGAGACGAGCGGACATGAGAAAGTTTCAGAAGTGATTTTAAGGTAGAACTCTCACTGGTAGAATTAATTAAATAAACGACACATTTCTACTGGTGAACATAATCATGAGTGTGACCGTTTCCTGACCCTGGCTGTGCAGCAGAGACACTGGTGGGCGAGGCTGGAGCCCCCACAGAGACTCTACGGTGCTGCGTTCCTTCAAATCCAGCAGCTGGATCAGGATGACCGGGTCGATATCCAACAGGCTGCTGCCTGGCCCGATGGCTCCGCCGGCAGCAGCTCCGTTACCAGAACACCGCCCGGCAGCAGAACCACGATGTAAGGAGCGCATACTGGAGCTGGATCCACCTGCAGATCAGGCAGAACCACGGAAATTCAGGTTCACAAACAACTCTTGTTATAAAACCATAAATCTTAAGATAAATACAGATTCATCCAAGCTGATTCATAAAAATCTGAAAAAATGATGCTTTAGTTACAGACAGCTAATCAATAGCATGGTTTTAGGGTTATTAACACAGTAACATTCTAAATAAATGCACTGAGGGAGACTTTAAACCGTAAAACTCATTCAGTAACTCCTGACCTTTTTCTTCTCTTTTCAACTGAAATTGTAAGTTGGAATTTTATGTTTTAAGGACAGTTGAACAGAGATAATGATCCGTTTTTTCTGAGTCATCCACTCTAAAGTCCCCATGTGTCTAACTGGCTTCATTCCAGCTAAGTGTGGGAGCTCAGTGGAGGTCTGGAAGAGACCAAATCCACTTCAAAATCTAAATTAAGAAATTAATTCTTTTACACAATCAATGCAAAGCATTAAGACATAACTACTATGCACTAAAAATGTGCAGTAACCCCCCCCCCCCCCCCCGCCGCCACCACCACACACACAAACACACACACACACACACACACACACACACACACACACACACACACACACACACACACACACACACACACACACAGAGACAGAGAGTGTTTCTGTACCTGCAGGATACACAAAGCTCATAGTGCTCAGGCAATGACTCATGCCCTTCAACACACACACACGCGCACGCACACACGCACGCACACACACACACACACACACACACACACACACACACACACACACACACACACACACACACACACTACTTTCTGTTTGTGCAGCAGTCAGGGCTCAAACTGAATCTGTAAATTCCCAAGCAGCAGCTGATGGTTTTGTTTGCTTCAAAACAAGAGCGAATGGAGGCTTTAGTCAATACTCACATTCAGTTTTTGACATTATCGCCTCAGAAGCACTAGGAAACCGCTCTGGAGTGTGTTTGTGATCTTTTAAAGTTAAAATAAGCACAGCTTCATCACCGCCCCACTAAAATAGGTCAGATGTGTCAAATCAAACAAATATGTTGCAGGTCTTTAAAATTGTGCACAAAAAACAAAGAAATATACTTCTCTATTGAATAACTCCTCACAGGATTTGTGTTACTACAAGGATTGTGCGTCACCTGCTGCCTTTTACACCAGGCTTTTATACTCAGATCATCACAAACATTCACGCGTCCTTTTAGCACTCTGACTGTGTTTTAAAATAACTCTCAGCTGCAAACACATTGAGTTTTAGCCTCAATATCAGTGAAATACACTGAGATACAGCCAAAGGTGGCTTAGCTATGGTGGCCATCTTGGAATATGGCTGACTCAAAAAGTTAACCAACCATAGGTGAACATCCGTTTTTAAAGTTTTGTTTAAACCAGTCCTGTTATTCATGAGATATTCTGCAAACTGACACCTAAAGTGAAACAACTGTTGTTGCTTTTCTATGTTGTGTTTAAAGATTCCTGCACCAAAATGTAGAACTGCTGTTAGAAACGGATGCACTGTTAAAAAAATAAATTAAATAAAGTCATCGTTCTTCACAGCATGTCCTCTAAAAAGAGACAAAAACAAATCATGTGCACACTGTCTATTTATGATGCACTGTTTGGTCTCAGCAGGGTCATAAAGTTGGGATTGTTTGAAAGTGTTTTGTGAGACCAATCCAGACCACAACGTCACAAACAGAAAACACAAAAACATCTGCAATAGAAAGAAAAACCAAACGATTTAAGATCACTTCACCTGTAGCACCAACCAGGTCATCAGACAGCTCTCCTTCTTCTGCCTCCAGGTTCCCAATAAAATCCACGTCATTCTCCCCAGACCTGAATAAACGTTACGTTTTTTTATTAATAAATGCTGAAATAAAAACAGCACACTCCATGTTTCTGGACCTCCTAAAACACTGATGGAATGTGAGGCGTTCTGCTCACATAGTCTCCTCGTCGATGTCGTTCTCCTCCGTGTTGCTGGTGGCAGTGGAGCTCCCCGAGGTGCTGCTGCCATCCAGGGGGTTCACCTCCTCCTCTGTCAGACAATCCACCTCCAAGTCTCCATCTGACAATTCCTGAATGACACCATCAGTCCAATAATGATCAGCAGTGATGGACAACGACTCAGCAGAACCTTGCTACAATACATGCCATCTGGGAGAAAGGAAGAAAGATGCTGCAGCACCTCCTACTGGAAGGTAGATGACATGAAAGGTGATTTAAAAAATTGCTATGAATATAATATAATATTTGGCTCCTCGTGTCCCGTGATATCAACGTTGGAGCTGGCAAGCAGAGGACTTACCCTGCACCGCCATCAGCGGTTAGCTCAGACTAACTGTTCAGTTCCTCTTACATTTGAGTCGTCGTGCTGAGTCCTCTCTTCTTCGCTGCCTTTCTTGGAGTTGCTCAGGGTTGTCTGAGGGTCGTCGTCGCTCTTCACCGAGCGTGGGTCCCTGTCAGACGTCATGGTGCCTGTAGCCAGCCTGAGGTCAGGAGGCGAGGAGCTGCGTGATGTCTGGCGGCGAAACAATTCAATGGCCAACCTCTGAAATCAGACACAGGTTTCACCCCCACTGACGTGTTTGGATCAGTCATCTTTAGATTTTAGACCAAAGAGTGAACTGAACCTCTTTGAGGTTGTTGATCTGCTGGATGTAGCCGTTCTGGGCCGACTCCAGCTGGCTGATGTACCAGTATTGATCTCTGCACTTCTGGAAGAACGTAGGTGAGCGAACCTGGTAGCTGCACAGCACACAGAAACGAATCACCCCAACTCCATAAAACCAGAACGGTGCAGGTGAACACGCTCTGCAAATGCTAACAGCGATTGTGTGTTTAAGCTCACCGGAGGACCAGAGTGTCAGTCTGCATGTTCAGGTAGCCCTCGCTGGCCAGCAGGTCCAGTCTGAAGAAACGGTTGTAGCCCCAACATTCACCAACCTCAAAGTCAGAAGCAAACTCTCGAATTATGTTCTTGGTTGGGTCACTGGAGGCCTGATGGACCATCTCAACACGGTACTCATATCTGAGCAGAGAATGTGAAAACGATGAGAATCACTCTACAAAAGCAGGACACTACCGACAGTTACAGGACTGCCTTACGGGACTCAAACATCCACTGACTCACTGATTATGAATCACTTCAGGCACAAAAAGGAGACCAGGCTGCAGGTCATCAGTTGCATAACATACTTGAAAGTGTTGGATTTTTCTACCCCTACAATTACCCCTACAATTAAAATCCAAAAGACCAATAGACCAAAATGATTGTTCTTCTGAACTGAAATTGTTGACGAGGTTAAAAGGAAAAGCTAACATCAGGTTTGCCTCTGGTCTTGATGCAGCCTTGAAAGCAGATTGAGGTCTTATTGTAAATGTTGCAGTCAGATTTATGAGAACTTTATTAAAAATCAAGACATTTCAAATCATTTGATGCAGAAAAATCCCCCAAAATACGCCGCCCGCTTTCAGAAAGTCTCTGATTATTCAGCTCTGCAGGCTCACTCCTCTTCATTACTGCCGCGTTGTTTTGTTTTAAATCATAATTAAAATAAGAAACCTGAAAATTGTCGGCAGGTTTTCACAGGAAGCTTATTAAATTTTGGCCTTTGTGTACATAATGAATCATCAAGCTTTTCAAATGCTTTTCCCAGAAAAATACAAATATTAAAATACCATTTGATACCATTAAAATGAAGCTTTAATAAAAGCTGGAGGGGAGAATTTAATAGAAAACACATTTGAACATTCGATCTGATTTCATGGGGGCTTTAAAGTAAGAACAGGGAGAACACAAACTCATGCAAGAGGCTTGAAGACATAATTCATACTTTGATGTTTCGGGAAGCCCAGCAGACAGCTCAAGGAACACAGACAGATAGTTTCCACGGACCACGCCGTTACCGTCCTGAAGAGACACATCGCAAGAAGTCACATCAACTTCTTTCTAACAAATACAGGAATTCTAAAAGAGCTGCAAAATTTTAAAACATTATTAAAACTTACTGGGTAGACTTTGAGTCTCCAGCAAAGTCCTGATATCTGCAGAGGTGGGCTGTAGACCGGGTCGGCCCGCTGCCTCAGGGTGCTACAAACACACGTTATAGAGGACTTTACTAATCCTGCAGCAAAACCATTTTTTTTTAAATTTAATAATCTGCAACAGTTTTCTCTTGTGAAGATGAAAATGGCCAACGTGTTTGGTTCTAGTAATAAAGCGTCTTCAGCAGCTAAAAGCAGCCAGAATGAAGTATTACCTGAAGTTGACCAGGACAAACGTGCTGGAGTCATAGGCTGGAACGAGTTCACTGAAACGAGCGCACATGCAAGCATTACGATCAGATTCTGTGATTTGTTACACAATACTGCAAGTGAGCAGGCTACCTGGTGAAGTCTGGGGGGACCGGTGTGGTGACGAACGACTGCATGGGTTTACGATGGACCTGCTGGAACATGAGCAGGATCTCTGGACTCTTGGAGATGAGTTCACTCTTACTGCAGGAGTGAAGCTGCTCAACGCACAAACAAAGTTCTCTAAACTTTTGCATTACAGGACACTCTACCATAAACCGTATTGATCACAGCTCCTAGTCTAAAATATTGACACGTCTCTGTGTACGGGTGGAGGCTTTGATCTGCAGTAAACAACCAACCTGATGCTCCACCTCCTGCAGCAGAGACTCCAGCAGCTCTGTCTCCTGGGTCAAGGACGTCTTCTGGCCTGGTGGGGAGGAACACGTTTCTATTTTCAGTGTGGAGGATGGAAGCTGGTGGGTGTGTGGCTGCCTAAATGGGTGCTGCTGAGTGCAGGTCCACTCAGACCAGATAAATATTTCATGTGTTGAATTACCCGTGTCTGTAAGGAGAGCGGGGGTAGTTGTGAGGGGGCTCCACCATCGGGCACATTTTAGAGCCTCTTTCAATAACAGCCCTTCATTTTTCAGACAGGACATACTCAGAACAATAGCTTCTTCTTTTTGTTAAAATTATTGTTTGAATGCTGTAAAGCATTCAGACTATAGTGATCCTGTTTCTCTTTATAGTTAGTTAGTTTATTATTCTACTTCCATATGTTTTTTGGCATTTAACTTACTTCCACAATTCCTCAACTATTTACACAATTTTGGCATCAAAACGTTCAGCTCGTTCAGCTCATGACTTTTGATATTAAAATATTTTATACTTTGAGATATTCAGCTTTTTCTGCGATTTTTGGTCCCATTGAAATGAATGGGATTGCTCAATTTTCAGCTAAATCCTATCCCTTTTTTGAACTCTTACTCTTATAGTTTAACTTTAACCTAGAGACTTCATTCAAGTTTCAACAAACTCACAAGACTTTCAGCCATTACTGGTTAAAAATCTTTTTGATATCTATTACAGTTTTTCTAAAATCACAGGTAGACGTTGAGGTATGGCTTGAGATTTTCAAAAAAAAAATCACTAAAATTATAATGGGGAAAGATAGGAGCGGTGACCCTCCCTTGCTCCATTTCTGGCATTGTCCCAAGAGAACAGTACGTCCGATTGAAATGAGACGCACGCTGGCTTACAGCTTACGAATATACCTTCGTTTTGAGCTATAATTCATGAATGTACTCCAAACATTGTGGTCGTACGGTTCATTTCTTTGAGAATATTTAAATAAAAAAAATGCTTACCACCACTCTAAACTGAAAATTCTGCACTCTAACTTTTGACCTTCACATTTTCTGGAAACAACTTTCCAACACCATCGTTTGGAGTACTGAAACAAATTATATCTCAAAAAGTAGGAATTTTTTTCAGAATGGGTTTCATTTTGTCCTTAAGTGTTACATTTCTTTCTCTACAAGCCTCAGAATGGGGAGACCCTGATTCTGTCTCATTGAAACCCATGTTAAAGGAACAGAGATTTTCTCCTCCGATCGGCTTCAAACAGCTAAAATGTTCTCATCATAGCTTCTAGACAATTCATGGCAGGCAAATACAAATTCACACAAATGACCATCAAAGCCTTCTGCCGCTCGCGCATTTTGAATGCTTGGTCTCCGGAATCTTGTATTCAGTTTTAAATACGTTATCTGTTACCATGGTAACACAAGTGCATAAGGATATCCCCAAACAAGTCTCATTGAAATTCATGTGAAAAGCCTAATATTGAGCCTATAACATACTGCTGTTTCTTATCTTTATGACCTCTAACACTTAAAACTAACAGCATAGCTGACATTTTAACAATAGTACGAAGGCAGGAACCGCCCCCTCCTCCTTTGCTGCTTTCTCATTGGCTGAGAGTTTTCATTCATCTTCTGCCTAAAAGGAAATGTGCACCCACACATATGATACATCAATTCAACCTGCTTGATCCCAGGAGTCTTGTATTAACTTTATATTTGTTCTACATTATCATGGCAACGTGCTTAGCAAGAACATTTAAAAACATTTTAGACACAACTGTATCAACATACTTTAAAGAGCAAGTCACCCCTACCAGATTCTTACTCAACTCCCACTTCCGGTTTGAAAAATGCAACAGATGCTGTTGCCAAGCATAACGAGAGGGCAGAGCCGCTAATAAATACACACACTGTGTGACATCATAATGTGCCATCATAGTGTACCTCTTAGCCAATAGCGATGGCAGATTTAAATTCAAATGCAGTGCTGAGTTTTTACCTGACGATGGTGCATCATTGACAGTTTTAGGCAGAATATTAAAATTTTTCCAAAGATGCATTAAAGTGCCGAATTATTGACTACATTTGTCTACAGCATAATCAGACACTCATTTGTATACACTGCTCACAAGAAATAAAGGAACACTTTTTTATTGGGCCTGGCATGAAATCAATTAGACCTGTCTGATAATTTCCTGGTTGAAGCTGAGGGCATTGTTAATCACTTTCAGCTGTAATGGTGTTCATGGACTTAACGACAGGTGCACTAAAGTGGCAACAATTACAAAACCCTCAAAACAGGACTGGTTTAACATGTAGAGGTCATTTCAAGTTTCTCCCTCTTGATCTTTTTCAGCTGGTTTTCCACTCGTGCTAGTTTTGGCTCTCTACTGGCAGCATGAGGCGATTCCTTAACCCTACAGAAGTTGCACAGGTTGTCCAACTTCTCCAGGATGGCACATCCACACGTGCTGCAGCAAGAAGGTTTAATGTGTCTCCCAGCACAATCTCCAGAACATGGAGAATTCAGGAGACTGGCGGTTATTCTCGGAGAGCTGGACAGGGCCGTAGAAGGTCCACAACCCATCAGCAGGACCGATACCTGCTCCTTTGTGCAAGGCAGAACAGGCTGAACACTGCTCGTGCCCTATAGAATGACCTCCAGAGGGCCACTGGCGTGAATGTCTCTACCCAAACAATCAGGAATAGACTTCATGAAGATGGCCTGAGGGCCCGACGTCCTGTAGTGGGCCCTGTGCTCACTTCCCAGCACCGTAGAGCTCGATTGGCATTTGCTCAAGAACACCAGAATTGGAAAGTCTGCCACTGGCGCCCTGTACTTTTTACAGATGAGAGTAGGTTCACCCTGAGCACCTGTGATAGACGTGAAAGTCTGGAGAAGACAAGGAGAACGTTATGCTGCCTGCAACGTCGTTCAACATGACAGGTTTGGTGGTGGGTCAGTGATGGTCTGGGGAGGCATATCCATGGAGGGACGCACAGACCTCTACTGCCTAGGAAATGGTGCTCTGACTGCCATAAGGTATCGAGATGAAATCCTTGAACCCTCTGTCAAACCCTACGCTGATGCAGCAGGTTCTGGTTTTCTCCTAATGCACGACAATGCCCGGCCTCATGTGGCAAGAGTATGCAGGCAGTACCTGGAGAACGAAGGAATTGAAACAATTGAATGGCTTCACGATCCCCTGACTTAAACCCAATAGAACATCTGTGGGACATTATGTTTCGGTCCATTAAGCGGCGCCAGGTTGCTCCTCAGAATGTACAAGAGCTCAGGGATGCCCTCACACAGATCTGGGAGGAAATGCCACAAGACACCATCCGTTGTCTCATTGTCAAGCATGCACACAAGCTCGTGGGGGCCACATAAGATACTGAAAAGCAATTTGAGTTGCAGAAATTAAGTTTTTGAAATAATGGACTAGCCTGCCACATCTTCATTTCACTCCGATTTTAGGGTGTCTACACAACTGAGCCCTCTGTGGGCCGAAAACTTTTATTTCCATTAAAAGACTTGGCATCCTTTTGTTCCTAAGACATTGCCCTGTTGTTATTTGTATAGATATCCAACTTCATATTGAGATCTGATGTATCTAATGTGTTTCTTTAAAGTGTTCCTTTAATTTTTGTGAGCAGTGTAGTTTATCAGCAAAAAAATGTTCATTTGGGGTGACTTGCTCTTTAATATAGAAATGTTATTCAAAGTTTAAAAGAGTCATGTGACATTGTAAATTGCTTTATTAAAGCAGACTCCTGTCATCTGTTACCATGGCAACACAAGGAACTACATATCACTTTAACCAAGTCTCATAAGAATGAATATAAAAAGCTGAATATTGAGCCAATAACAGACTTCTGTTTTTGATCTTTTTGAATTATCTGTACTTAAAACTAGAAACAAGTTAAATTTGATTGACCGTCAGAAGGCGGGAAAGTGCCCCGCTCCCTCCCAGCCCCCTGATTGGTTGAGAGAGGTCAATCATCTTCTGGCTAGATGGAATTACACACCCACACATGAGACATCAAATCGATCGGCTGGGCCTAAGGAATCCATCCATCCACATATAAATCCATACATGCTTCTATCCATCCATCCATCCATCCATCCAATAAACCATCTAACATCCATCCAACAGTCCATTTATCATTTCATTCATCCAACCATTCATCAATTCCATACCAAGTCTGAACATATGTTAATCTATCAGTTTCAGATATCAGTAAATGTTTCTAAATTCACAGTTCAGCCAATTGTAAAAATGTACCTGTTAAACTATTCTCATTCAAATGCCAGCTGTTTAAACATTTCAACTTTTGAATTTTTAATCAACGTTTAAAGATTGAAGTTTTCTGCTGTTTAGCATTTTTTTGTCATTCTCCACCTATATTCTGAGCGTTATTAAACTTGTTGGTGATTTTTGCTTCTAAATATTTAAATACATTCAGCTCATTTTGACAGTTTACCTTAGTTTCAGCTTCACTTCAGCTATTCAGCAGCTTCAGCAATCAGTTTCCAAGTTTAGCATATGCTGCTAATTTCACATTTCAGCTAAATGTAAATATTAAACTGTTAAACTTGTCCTACTGAAATAACATGTGTTTAGACATTTTAGCTGTCCAGATTTTTATACAATGTTCACAGATTTCAGTTTTCTGCTGTTTAGGATTATTTTTCTCTATTATTCACTTACTTTTTGTGCTTTACTTGGTTGTTGGTGATTTTTGCTTCTACATCTTTCAATACATTCAGCTCATTTTGACAGTTTTGCTTAGTTCCAGCTTCAGTTCCGCTGTTCAGCAGCTTCAGCTATCCAGCATTCAAACAGCATCTCCGCAAGAGATGCAAATTTTTCTAGTTATTTAATGTTCTCTCCCTAACGGCATGGGTGGTGCTGTGTGATCCTAATCCTCACGGTTTAATTTTGTGATTGGAAAAATGATGCTGATTCATCTTTAGTTCATTACACAGACATATTTAGCTAGATATGTTCACTGCCCCACTCCAAATAGAGACCTATTTTCTGCCATTTTTTACCCAAGATCCAGTTTTATAACATTTTAGCATTTAACGAGTTTCATGGCCTTTCTGTGAGTGTGTGACTAGATCTTTTCCCAAGTTGGGCTGCTGCAGCATTTAAGCTGCTAACAAGACCCGAGAGGACACTCAGCCTTTTAGTTAACAGTCATTAAACATAATGTAATTTACTCAGAGATAGAAAACCATGATGATCTGCTAAAGCAGAGTAATAGTGGAATTGTCACATTCCACAAAAACAAACAACAGGAAACTGTTTCCACCCGGATCATTTTAGATGTGACACATGCTGAGCCTGATCACTTTAGTGTGTGTTCCTAAAGAGAAGGACATTATTGTTAAAGATGTCTTTGCTTTGTGGAGAGTTTAGCTTCAGTGAGTCTGTGACTTACAATAAGATCAATTGCCAGCAAGATATTAGTAATGCTAGCAAATGTTAGCATAAGGAAGCCAATTATTAGTCAGAAGTATTTAATTCTAATAGAGTAAGCCATCCTAATTCAGGCTTCTGTATTGACTGCTGTGCAAGTCTTCTGCGCTCTGGTGGAGGAGTCAAGTACTGTACGTGATATGAGCCAATGTTTCACCTTTAGATGTTTTGATTTTAGTGAAAAATAACAATGTGGGAACCCAACCTTGCTGTTATGGCTTATTTTGAAATGAGCTGTAAGTGGCTTGTTTTTGTGATCAGACACAGAAACATGCAAACCTGCACAGACGTCGCTGTGTGTATGAAAGGAGCTCTGGGCTCATCATTTTATTTCTGACACCTGGAATTAGTTCTTCTGCATTTCAGCAGACGTGTGCAGGGGTCCTACCCATCAGAGTGATGAGTTTATTCTTGAGCTGGTTGTCCAGGCGAGCGATCATCATTTCCACAGCGTTTCGAATCTCTCTGACCCTCTCGTCCTTCGCTCCTCTAACGGCCTCGACGTTCCTCTCCTGGTACAGCGGGTACAAAAATAAAACAAAATCTGTTAGTGCCATTAGAGGATGAAAGGCACAAAACACACTGCACAGAGATTTAAGAAAGCATTTATCACATGTCAACGGTTTGGTGTTTTTATCTTGTAAACAGATGACAGATTTCCTTAAATGGTGGCAAAGTGAACACAATTTAATTTGCTCCCCTTTTATCACAAATGTATAAAAAGCAGGTTTTACAGTCTTGATCGGAGAATTTTTATTATTATTTGTATGAAGAAATCAAGCCCTCACCACTTCCTGCACCAGACTGATGAGCTCCATGAGGCGGCGGCGCAGTTTGGCCACCTCTTCCTTCACCTTGGTCACATGCTGCTCATAAATCTCCACCAGAGGCTTAAAGGTGTGACCGCCATGCTGTAAACATAACATCAATAACTAAAGTGAAGATCTGCCGAAGTCTCTGTGCCGATTGTCAACAGAATATTTGGGAGTCTTTGATCAAATCATTTGGACGAGATGATTGGCTAATGCTGTTTTAGCTACTGTTACAATTTGTAACTTACAAAAACCAGTTAGGAATCACTGGAGCCTTAGCTTGGATCATTTCTGTACTGTACTGTATTTTAAAAACCAAATGTGTGAAACATTACCATTCCTCCCCAGAGAGCACACTGGTGGCAGATGCATTTCTTACAGGTCCAACAGAAAACACTCAGCTTCTCATGGTGGTTTTCGCATCTACAGAGCAATAGAACCATAACCATATGACACAGTAAACACAGGAATGGGGAGCAGAAAAGAAACCAAGTTGGTTATTCTTTTCGTTTGGGGGAGCTGCTCACTTGTCCTTATCGTTGTCCTCATGTTTGGTGAGACTGCAGAGCTGCAAGGTATCCAGCTGCTGGGTGACCTCCTCTGCCCAGCGACAGTTCACCAGCTCCCTGAGCTGCAGCGGGGCTCTGTGTGCACAACACACCCATATTTCATCATGAGCTGCACACCTTACAAATCAGCTGGCAGTATGGGATGAACATGGAAATAGTCCAGATGCTGTGAGATGTCCTAAAAGCTGAATAACAAATATTTAAATGTGTTTCTGAAGCTACAGGAAGCTGTTCCATAGTTATTATATACTTCTGAGTCCCAACACTATGGAAACAGTTTTGTGAATGGATTTCTTAATGGTCTCCCACTGTGAATTTATTGTTGTTGTTTTTTTTTTTCTAATTCAATGTATTACTGAAAGGTCAAAAGTAAGTCTCTCTGAAACTTCTTTAGTTAGTGAAAAAAAAAACAAGATGTAAAACCAAAGGGGTTCAGATAAAGGCAACTGGGCTTCATCAGAAAGCAGTCCAGTTGCCTTCATCTGAACCCCTTTGGATTACCATGACCTGGATGACTGATAACTTTCACCAACAAGATGTAAAGAAGGCAGAAAAATCTTTGGCTCTCACCGACAGTGTGGACACTGGGCTCTCTGCTCCGTCAGCCACCGCTGTCAAACAAGAAGTTACAGCTCAAACAAAGGGTGTAAAGATAACTAGAGCAGCTAGTTTGCTACTAAAAGAGATTATCTGAAATAATTTTCTAAATAGAACTACATACTAATGTCATTCCTCCTATTTTCCCCCAACAAACTACTTCCAACTTTAATTTAAACCCCTCAAAACAAGCTGAAACCTTATCTACTCAACAACAAACAGAGATGCACATTTACACACATAATTAAAGAATATATTTGCAGCTAATAGCAGAATACATAATCTGTTATTCATTATTGCCTTTTCTGTGTTGTTCCACTCACTCGTATGCAGCTGAAACAACAAAGTTTGGAGCAATGTGGGCACAGCCGAGCATCCCTCAGTTTTTCCATGCAGATGAAGCAGCGAAACACCTCAGCGATGCTCTGCAAACAGGCAGAAGGAGACTTTTAATACCAAATACAGCAGCAGAAAATAAAACAACTTGACTAAACAGTGTGTGTGACTGTGCTCAATAGTTGTTGGAAATAGATTTAATCATACAGCTTTCATGCCGAATGTGTTATACACACCTCAACACTTTGTTCATCCATTTCAGCCAGTTTGAGGTTCTTGGTGATGAATAAAACAAGTAGTCTGAAAGAAAAGTATATGAATTTAATTCTCAAAATTATGAGCTTGGTTAAACTCAGTTTTTGTTCCATAATAATTGGTAGTCATTAGTGTTTATTCTGATTTTGATAACAGGTTAAATCACTCAGTAGCAAAAAATGTAAAAGGTTTAAACCAATCTGGTTTTAATTCACACAACTGATGGATATGTTTGTTACATTTAAAGAGAATTTATTATCGGTCACAGATTTTAGAAATATTGTCCATTTGTTGTTCAACTGGACAAGAAGATCAACCAAGAAACAACTGATGCAACCAGCTCAAAACTCAGAAATTGCTCATCATCAAAACACTTCTTAAAATACTGTAGTGTGTACACTCTGGATACAAAAATGATGTGAAAATAATCGACTTCAAACTGAAGAAATAATTACTAAAACAAAAGTGGTGGTCTTTGACAGCTACAGGATGAGGCCCTGAAATCTGTCCCTGAAGCTTCCAGCTCCATCAAATTCCCCCCTTAAATCTGTGACCCCAAAGTGTTTCGTGATATTAACTGAATAGCACACTGAGTAGGAAGTATAACAAGTCCATCCCTGTGTCATATTAGGACATCCACGTCAACACGTCAGACTAAAACATACATAAAATATCTATAGACCAAGTTAGCTGCAATAATAGAATATAAACTACGCAAAGTGCAGTAAATAGATAGCAGGGACATAGTAATGTTTATGAAAGTTAAAACACCAAATTAACAGAGTTTGTGCAATGCACAAATGTTTAAAAACTACAGGTTCTGCTTCCCAGAAGCTGTTATCATTTCTTGGTGATAGCAGATTGTAGGTAGCCATCAAGAGGCCCAGAGTCAGCTGCAAACACAAGAACGAATAACTTACCAGAAAACAAGCCCGTCACTGCTCTAAATAACAACTACTCATACAATTAAACACAAGGCAAAATTTGATCAAATGATGAGCAAAAAAAAAAAAAAAGCTACATTGGTACCCAGAGCTAGCTAGCTGGCTGCCTTTTAGCAGCGGTTTTCTCACCTTTCGAGGACTCGGCTTCGTCTGTTACACCTGATCAACAAACGGTCTGAGGAGGGGGCTACATCGTGTTACATGACACCTCCCCCAGTTTATAAAAAAAACATATAACTAAAATAAACAGCGTTAAGAATCTTGTTTTGGGTCAGCTTCGATTAAATAGGCCACTTTCTGTTCCAAACTGAAGATGTAGTGGTTAATCTGAGGCTGTTTGTCCCCCAGCAACAACCAATCACATTTCTCCGTTTCTTTTTCTTCTTCTTCTTTGGTTTCGATGAGTCACCCAGTGTTATCATTGCCCCCTTTTGGTGTGGTTCCTTTACTACAGTCCCATTGCCTTCAACGATTCAGGAGTATTCTTTTATCTCCTAACAGATCTTCTGTTCTAATTAAAAAAATAATATCTATGCATTTTTATACTTTCTACATAAGATCAATACATTTTTTAAGTAAAATTTTTATTATATTGCTTAAAATGGTCAATGAAATTCTGAAATATCATGGAAATTGTGTTTTATTGATGAGAGGTAGCTATTTTTAACTTAAAACATACACCAAAATATTACTAAATCATAATATCAGTGAGAAAAAAAACTAACCATACAAGTCTATATGATTTATGAAACATGAAATCAGCCAGAATTCAGCAACCGTGGGACATTTTACTGCTGCCTACTGACAGAATCACAGAGGCAGTCTGGGACAAAGCAGATGGCATGCTGATCAGATGACAAAACTACAAAATTTCTCATAAAAATTAAATGAAACAAACTAATCTTAGTAAATCTATGTGATCTTGTATCTGGCAGCCTTCTGAATAAGTTTACACATAAAACACACATCAAAGACACATTTTTCTGTCTTATAAATCTAATCTTTAGCTGATTTTATCAGTCAAAGAATCACTCATCTTATTTGATTACCAGAAAGAAAAAAGTTTACCTTAGCTTGCATTCTCATTTGAATTTAAAGCCTTTCACCATATTTATTCCATAAACACTTCTGCACATGTCTGCAGGGGTCAGTTACTCATTAAAGCCAAGGTCTGATATGATTATCAGACTTGTGTCTAAATTATTCGAGGTCTTTCTTTATTTTCATTTGCATTTACTCATAACCGTTTTAACCATGCACTTTGCATTACAGTTAATGAAAATGACAGAACACTGATATTTAACTTTAAATTCTGAAAGAAAAAAATGCTTTTGAAATATAAAAGACACTAACTACATAAAACACGAACTGGAATAAACAGGAAACTTTTTTTATTTAAGGAAAAAGTCCTTGAAAAGTCAGCACCTGTGATGTTAACAAGACACATTAGTACTCACCAAAATAACATATTTGTTTCTGAAAAAGTATATTTTCCTTCAGCTAAAATGCACTTGCACATGTGTTATAAACAGAAAATGCACAATTAAATAACTAAATTGATCAGTTTAAGTGACAAAGTCCCATTCTAAAAGCCAATGTAGTTCAGCCAAACACTCAAAAGTGGTAAAAATATTAACATAGCAACATAAACATGAAGTTTTTATTAATTGTTTTTGTATTTTTATTAAAAATAATAATTTTTCTGTCTTGACCTGCTGCATGCTATCATATTCTAATTAAACTAAATTTGAGTAACATAAATCATTGCCTGCTCTCATAGTTACACTTCACATAGTCCAACTTTGGGGGAGCATGTATGAAAATCAGCACTGACAAGTTTATAGAGATGACTCGCGCTCCATCATCACAGCACACACACACACACACACACACACACACACACACACACACACACACACACACACACACACACACACACACACACACACACACACACACACACACACACACGCGCACACACACACACACACACACACACACACACACACACACACACACACACACTGAGCTATCTCAGTTGACAGGAATAATACAAACATCACCTTGTCATCCAAATCACCCAGGAGGATGACTCCTCTTACTCTTTTTTGTACACACACACACACACACACACACACACACACACACACACACACACACACACTCACTCACACACACACACACACACACACACACACACACACACACACACACACACACACACACACACACACAAAGGCTGTATATTCGCTGTAACCCTATTGTTGTTTTATGCAAATGGTCTGAAGCTGGATAGGACACACAGAGAGACACATGCAAATCAGCTTATCAGGCTACACAAGGTGCACTGCAGAGGTGAACGCTTCTCCACTTAGGAAAATGCTCATGAGCAGCTGTGGATTTCCAAAACTTTTCATCCTAACTTGCGCTTCCTCCTGAATAAGCAGAGAGGCCGACAGATTCAGAGCAGTGCAAACACTCTCCACCTGAGGTAAGTCACCCGTCCACAATCCTGCTTGTGAATATTAAAAGCAGGGTTCAGGCTGGAGTTTGTGTGGTTTGGAGGGGAGGGCGCATTAGAATAAACTCAAGATCATTTTCCTGGGTGGCCTGAGTGCTTCATTGTCCTGGTAAAGTTACAATCCTCTAGGAAAATCAGCTATATTTATCATTACAGATATTAAGATGAGCTCAGACACGGTAGAGCAGTCGGAGGCTTCAGCGGAGCAGACAGGTAAGAATATTTCATCCTCACCTCGGCTTAATCTGAATCAAAATATGCAGATGAAAGCAAGGAAGCTGTGTTTACTCTGATGCTACTGTTTCTGGGCAAAAAGTTGTTGCATCACCTCCTCCAGACTGAAAATACAGTTTATTCCCTCAGAGAGTGGCTCACAGAGTATTTATGTCTAAACTTTGGTTAGTTTGTTCATTTCAGTGAGTCGAGTTAAACTTTTATTTACAGCAGGGATGTTTGCACAGTTGCATTCAAGATCCGTGCAACAAAAGGCTCATCGTGCTTGGGTCATTGCAAACAGAGATGAAATGAACAGCTTTTTGTTTTTGTGTGAGGCTGCGTGTCTGGGTTATGCGTGGATACGTTTGACAGTTGGAGTCTGTTCGAGGTCGCCCCTGAGGCCATTTTCTCAGGTACAGATTACCCAGAGGCTGAGGATGCCAGCATGAAAAACCAGGAACAAGCCACAGAAAAATGTGGAACTTTTATTTAAACAATAGATGCATGAGAGAAGTGACAGATTCTGCTTCACAGAAGTCCTAAATGCCCGTATTCTTTTTGCCACTTTAGACCATTAAAGTCTTGTTTCCAGCGGGGCCTCTTCCTGGAGAAAAAAAAACCGCACAAATTCAGCTGTGCTAAACTCTTTTGTGCGTTTTTTTTAATTGCAAACAGATATTTCAGAGACTAAATCAAATGTGCACTTGCATGAAGAGACATTATGTAAGCAAACATAATTTTCCTTGTAATTCAAGTGGGTTATCTTCTCTGGAAGCAAGAGGAGCGTTTGTCTCAGGTGAACTTCTACCTGCACCTGCTCCCTCTGTGCAAACCTGCTGTCTGGAGCTCACTCTTGCAGACAAGCTGGAGACAAAATCTACAGCTGCCTTAAAGACCAGATCTCAAGAGGTTTTGTCTCCTGGCCTAAACCAGTTTGTTCAAGTTCTGGATGTTCTGGTCATTCCCAGTACCTTAAAAGGATCTCTGAAGCTTAAAACACCTGAAAAAGAAGAGGTGTATTGTCACATGACCTCACAGCATGTCTTATCCGTGAACTAAAACCCTGCAAGCCTTAATTACTGGGTTTCACATAAGAATCTGGTTTGTTTACAAAAAATGTGTCCTTCAAATTATTAAGGAAAATTACCTGCAGCATTTTTATTACCATCAATAACAAAACAAACACAACAGAATCACAGTTTAATCAAAAATGCTGGAAGCTTGTTTTGTTTCACTTCCAAAGGGTTCAGATGAAGGCAACTGGACTTCTTTGGTTTCTTGAAGACGTTTCGCTTCTCATCCGAGGAGCTTTGTCAATTCTAACTGGAATATGGGAGAGTCACGTTTATAAGCTGTAGCTGTCTGTTGCTATTTAAGGAGCAGAAACTACTCTAGATGCATTTCTGCGTCTTATCACAACGACTCCCTCTCAATAGAGGCTAACAACTCATCAGAGGATGGAGAGGTGGGGTACCCAGAGTGGGTAAATTACAATAAACAAAAAACTTGACTCTCCCATATTCCAGTTAGAACTGACAAAGCTCCTTGGATGAGAAGCGAAATGTCTTCAAGAAACCGAAGAAGTCCAATTGCTTTCATTTGAACTCTTTGGATTACCATGACCTGGATGACTGAGAACCTTCACCAGCATTTTGTTTCACTTCCTGATCAGAAAGGATGATTTATGGAAGAATAGGTTGATTTCTCAGAGGTGTTAAAGAATTCAAGATGGTTTATTGTGAACTTGGTTAAGAACACGCTTTTTTTAAATCTTTAAGGTGTTTTACGGTGTCATTTGTGTACAAAAATTCTTAAAAACAGGAGTGAAAATTTGACTGTGTGGTGATAATTAATGGAAATGCTTTGGCTCTAACTTTCTGTTTTTTTCTTGCCTTCCTTTTTTGATAACATTACCTCTCAATTTAACCCAAAAGTCCTCAGAAACACAACTTCTTGTTAGTTTTATGATTTCCCATGTTTCTATTTCAATGTCATTTGAAATTATGTTTGGAAATGAACTAATATGAATCTTGATGGGTCTCTAGAAAACCTAAAGTCACCAGAATTGATAGGAAATAGAGATGTGAGGGGGAAAAAAGAACAAACCTTTTACTTTTCTGTAAATTAGTGATTGATGATGCTGAGCCCAAAAGAATCTGATTATTACTAAACAGAGTAAAATAGAACATTTGACATTTTTGAGGAAAAACAGTCGTTTTAATGTGTCGACTTCAGTTAAATTATTCCATTATTTAAAGCTTGTTCTCTACAGCCTCAAAAGAGATCCACGTCTGTATTTTCAGACATATTATTTTGTCCCAATTGTAAAGAAAACCAGGAATCCACAAAATCAAAAATTAAAGTTAATTTTTAAATGTTAAATGACTCAATAGATGCTCTCTAATTAGATTATGAAAGTCAACTTTAACGCAGAAAAAAAAGCTTAATATTTCTTTGCTTGCTGTCTCAAGGGTAGTTTGTGTACTTTTCCTGGATTTCTATCCCAACATCCAGACCCTGACCACGAGTATGGGCCTGTGTTCTAAAGCTCAACACAGAGATCCATTGTGGTTCAATAATGAAGAAAAAAACTGCAGATATTTAGTGTTTACTGCAGTTGTTGCTACAGAAACGGTC